TATAAATCCAAGGTACTGTTCCCCGCTGCTGCTCCCCAGTGGCTTCTCACTGTAGTACAAGCCAAGCTCCCTTCACAGCCCACAAAGCCAAACACCAGTCATGTCCAGCCCAGGCTGCGGAGTGCAATCATTTAGGACACAACTTCTGCCCAGGCAGATGCCCAGGCTGACAGTCTCCATGGCTGGGGGCTGGGGGCGAGGGCAGCATGGAGCTCTCTTCCTTTCTTTTCTTTCTTCCTTGTTTTCCTTCCTTTCTCTGCTCTTTCTTCTTTTGTGGTACTAAGGAATCAACCAAGGGCCTTCACACTGAGCTACATCCCTTCCTCTATTTTTAATTTTTTCTCCTTTAGACAAACTCTCCCCAAATCACTAAATTGTCCAGGCTGGGCTCAAACTTGGGACCCTCCTGTCTCAGCCCCCAGAGTGCTGCTAGTACAGGTGCATACGCCTCTGCACTGGGCTTTGTCTTTTGTACTCTCCTTGGGGGATCTGAACTTGTAGTCAGGGTGGAGAAGGCCTGCTGGGCTGATCAGCCTGCAGCCACACCCAGACCTCTCTCACCCTCACTCTCCACCTTGCAGTGCAGCTCTGGACAGCCCCTCCCTCCTCTGCACATGGACCCCCGAAGGGGGGCTCCCTCCACCCCGGGCCCTGGCTGCCTTTCTGCTCAGCACCTGTCCTTTCTGTGCTGATCACCTCAAGCCTTGGTCCCCTTGCTCCTCCCCACCTGGATGGCGGCCCCATGGGGTAGGACCTTGTCTCTCTGCTTTCTGGCTGCATCCTGCACATGGGGCACTTCCTGCACCATTCAGATTGATAAATGCCTGCTGCTTTAATAAGGGTTTAAATGTCTGGCACCTCATTCTTGGGTGTGATGTGGCAGAAATGGGCTATGTGACCTCTGGCAAGTAACTTCCCCTGTGGTCTTATTTGCTTATCTATACAAAGCAGATGCTAAGACTTGCCACAGGGGGAAGAGTAATCATAACATATTAATAGTTTGCTGCACACTCTCTCTCCTCTGGGGCCCAGCCTTCCTATCACAGGCATCACCCCCCCACACCCCATTCGAGGTACCCCCAGAGCTCCTCACCCTTTGTCCCCTTGCACCCAGTGAGCTCCCCAAGCTCCAAGCTTCAGCATCTTACCAAGAAGCCCTGGCCTTGTCTGAAGGGCATTTTGAAGGGCAGGCTTCGCTCTTCTGAACCCCAGCAGCCCTTGATCTGAGTGTTTCGGACCACAGTGTTTTGATCAAAACGTGGGTTCAGGTGGAAGGCAACGTCACTCCCACAGCGCAGGTTGATGTGGAACCTGGGGTAGGTGCATCACATGGACCCTCTGTGTCTCCCGAGCTCTGCCCTCAGCCCCTCCCGCCATGTCCAGTCTGCCTGGAGCCAGGGGATGGCCCTCCTCCTTGAGAGCACTGGAGGTCCCGACTTACCTCTTAGCATTGGGTGGGATAATGCCGGACACAGTGATGACCCTAGATGGGAACAGCCCACCTGGGATGGAGGTGAAGTAAGGAATGGGCTGTTGGAAGGATGGGAACAGGTCAGCTGGTGAGAGCCGAGAGCCACCACTGCAGGGGAATTCTGTACCAAGTGTCACGGACTTGGACATCAGCTGAGTCTGAAACCGCACCTTAGAGTAGTATGACTTCCAGAGGAAACCCTGACATCTTTACTTGGTTCATTAAACACCAAGGGAAAACCTCCCAGTGTTCCCAAAGCAGGGGGCCTTCACAGTCATGAAAGGAGCGTTGGCGGGATGCTAAAGCATCCTGGGGCGACAAGCCAAGGCCATAGAATTAGCTCACACTCAAGGGACCATTTTAAAGTCGAAAGCTCCTTTCAACATGCTCCTAATTTACCCGAATACTTTTAAATTTCAGCTGACAAAGGACTCTTTTTAATTATGCAAGCCAGAGGGTCACTGCCAGCTGTCATTTACCTCCCACCCTGCCCATAGCAAACGAAATCTCCCTCTGCTACCCAGACACCACTTACATAGTTTAGGTTGGGGTCCATTATAGGTGATAGTTCAGGATTCTGTGGGAAAGAGACCATGAAAGTCAAAGTGGGAATGTGGTGGGCATGCACACACACACAGATACCCACACATTCTGGAGGGGCGGCCCTAATGGGAGGCTGAGGTCGAGAGCTCCAGCCCTGGGGTTCTACAGTTCACCTCGCTTCTCACATCAGCCTTCCCGGATCTTCCTGTGTTCTCAGACCCCATCACCTGGCTCTCAGCCCCTCCAGGCAGCCCCTTATCACTGCAGACCCCCCACTTGATATACACTGGCAAGAGGGGGAGAAGATACTTGGAATCAGTAGTGACACCCTAGGATGGGTAGCTACTAACCCTTATCTGGAAGCTGGGGCCCCTACACTCCCCTCTTGGTAATAGGACTGTTTGCTCTGCTGCTCCCTAGGGGATCTGCTTCTTTGATGACTGTTCTAGAATCTCTGCTGTCCCGAGGAGAGCTGTAGCTGCACTTCTTCTAAGTAGAGGATGGAGCCCCAGCTGTTCCCATCCTCTTTGCTAAGCCACTTTCTTCCCAACTCTAGGGCTTAGAGAATTCTCTTCTTGTTGAAGAGGGAAGATACAGGGTTGTGAGTGGAGCAGAATTTTCAGACTTACAGAGAACACCAGTCCAGGGATACCGTGCATGATGGGTTGAGTCTGGAAGAAGAAACAAGGTTTTAAAAAGCTCACCCGCGTGAAGACCACCACCCGTCACCAGAGGGCGCCACATGACACATACTTCTTGATAACCTTGAACTACATTCACCCGGCAGGCAAATGGCTACCTGACCATGACCAGCAGCCAGTATGCTAGGGGTGGGCAGAGGTGTTTTCTTCACTCAAGTGGATGAGGGAGAGGCAAAGGCTAGAGTTCCAGAGAAGAAAGTGAGCAGTGTCTGTGGGCTCTGGCCCACCTTTCTTCTCAGGAAAATTTCTCTCCTCAGAGGCCCATCTTCACAGGCCGGAAAGGAGAATGTGTCTTGAGGCTGCCCCCAGAATGGCAGGAACTTGTGTAAGGACTTGGCACTCAGGTGGTTTCCTGAGGCCAGCCAGCCAAACACACCCTCAGTCTCCTCCTCCTACCACCACAAGGTTAGGCACTTGGGGAGGGCCTTGTTTCTCCACCCCTCTGCATGCATGGCTGTTCCATTGGGTGGCTTGTACCATCTGCTGGGACAGTCATGCATGTACCAGAGCCACCTGGCAGTAAAACATAGGAATTATGGCCCCATCATGAATATGTTAACCTGCAGGAGAATTTGAAATGAAGAAGACCAGAGACAAGAGCAAGGGACTTTCTGCCAGACCCGGGGCAGGCCAAATGCCTTGAGGCTGAAAAGAATGAGAATAATCAACATTATGGCTGTTGCTAGTGCCACACAGGGTGACAGACAACTGCTGAGCTCCAGGTGGGGTTCTTGACATTTGTCTATTTCCTGCTCTCAAGCAAACCCTTTCTGAACTTAGAGCACCCTGGTTTTGAACCCCATAAACATAGGACAGTCCAGGGTTAGGAGAGAGGAATGCTCCCTTGACTTCCCAAGAGAGGGGACAGGTCTAACCCAGACCAACTTGATTTCCTGAGCCCTCAGAGGCAAGAGCACTACTTCTACAGCCCTATTTTACCCACAAGGTGAAAACTAGCATTTCCCGAAGGCCTCGTGGTGCGCCAAGCACAGAGCTCAAGTTTCTTCTGAGGCAGAGGCAATCTTCTAGGCAGGGAACACTCCCCAGAGGAGTGACATTAAGCAGAGAATCGCAATGTGGTTAGAAGTCTGCTGGAGGCAAGGTGGGCAAAGGGTGGCAAAGTGTGATGGCCCAAGAGGGCCTGGAGTGAGCAGCGGAGGCTGCGTGAGCTTTGTTGGGGGCAGTGAGGCTGGGAGCTGAGTTGGGAGGAGCCTGGGGACAACCCTGGGACATCCTGCTGGAGAGCTGGAGCTTTATTGGGGCTTTCAAGATTTTTAAGCAGGGAGAATTTGTGATGAAATGTGTTTCTAGGAAGGTCACTAGATGGGGGTAGGTGGAAATGAACCATGGATGCCATGGTGAGGAGTCTCGGTGGCCTGGACCGAGGCTGGGGTTTCAGGGAGGGAGAACATTGATGCACTAGGGAACCTAAAGGGGCGGGGAGGGGTCCAGGGCAGCTTCTGGGGGCCTGGAGGAGGCAAACAGGAAACCCTTGCATGGATGTGATGGGCCTGCTGGCTGGCCCAGACTCTCGTCCCTCTGTCCTTCTGCTACCTGCTCAGCCTCCCCGGCTCTGTGTTTAACTCACTTTCGGTCTGTACCTCCTGGACTTCTGTGGGAAACGCACAGGCTGGGAGAATTGTGGCATGGAGAAGGCAGGCTGCACGGGGAAGTTCTGTTAAAACAAAAGGTACCAAGGTAATGGAGCAGCGGAGCCCAGGAGGAGCAGACGACAGCGCTGGGTAGGGCAAGAGGGAGCAAGGTAGATCGGTGCAGGCAGGGTGCATGCTGAGTGGCCGAAGTGGGTTAGTTAGGCCCAGAGAGTGAAGGCAGGGTGGCAGTCACCTCCCCACCCAGCTCCTGCAGGGAAGGGTTGGGAAGGGAGGAATGTGGGCAACGAGGCCCAAAGGGAGAGGTACTCATGTTTGCTGAGAGCCTATGGTGGGCCCAGGGTGCCCCAATCATCCAATTTTTCTCATGACATCCCCACTCCTTTTAGATTTCAGCAACACATTTAAAAATCGCAAAACACAGAGAGGGTCCAAGAAGCCCTGGGGTGGGCTCTGGGGACCATGTTGTGTCATCTGATGCACATGGGATGGTAGAACCACATGACCCAGTGGCAATGACTGTGCCCTTTCTGCATATGAGAAAACCAAGGTAAAGTTGCTCCTTGAAGATTCCACATGGTGAGAATGGCAGATTTGGGAATTTGAACTGGATTTCATTTTGTTTCTAAGCTTGGGCTCTTTGTGGAACCACCTGGCCTAGAGGGTGACAGTGAACAGTGGCCAAGGGGCCTGGAAAACCAAAGATGTTTTGCACAGAGGCAGCAACACAAAGAGGAGGTACAGAGTGACAGGAGGAGTGGACAGTCTCTAGGACCGAGGAAGCAGTGTATCCCCAAAGCCACTGGTGGAGGAGACTGGCTAGGACCTTTGGGCCCATCCAACAGGGCCCAGACACAGCCAGACTGGGCCCTGCACCCCAGCCCCTGGGACAGCACAGGTGTCAGGTGTTCAGTCTGACCTGGAAGCTGATGTAGGACAGCTGCAAAGGGCCAGCAACAGAGATGGTGTCCGCAAGATGAAAGGGCACTCGGTGTGGGTACTGCACAAAGAATCTCTTGTTCACCATCACCTGCCAAAGGAGAGTGCAGTCTGGGGGAGGAGCCCTGGGCCAGGGCAGGTGCACACCTGGCTCCCTGCTTCTGGAAATGGAGGCCTGAGACTGCTGTCCAAATCCAGTGCTGAGCCAGTGACAGGAACAGGTGTCTGGGTCAGAATGCACCCAATCCAAATCTCCACTTGGCCCCTGTTTTGGCTTTTCGTTCTTACAGGTGTTCGATCACTATAGCAGGTGGTATTTCTAATCATACCTCACCTGGATAATATTGCAATATGCATACAATGCTCCCCGGGAGCAGAGGAGGGGCACCCTCCTGTTGCACACTGAGTGTGTGGGAAACGCCATGTCACACACAGAAGGACAGACGTGGACATACTCACCCCACCCTGATCCCCAAGCCCAGGGAGATGACTGTGTCTGCAAAGGTAATCTGCAGTGGCTTATACAATCACACCCTTAGTAGAAAAGAGCTAGAATACGTTTTCCAAAGACTAGATGTTACCAGGATCCACAGCAGAGGCCTGGAACAGCACAGGAATTGAAATAACCTGAACTTTAAAGACATACAAGGACCAAAAGCAACATGGTGATGTATCTAGCTCTATATACACAAGAAAAGAAGCAGCAGAAGCACCTGTGTGCAGGTGAAAGCGTGTAAAAGAGGCTACCTGGCCGTGAGTAACACACTTACCAGGCAACAGTCTCATTGTCTGTTTAGTGGTGTTGCTCTGGCCTGATCTCAATGAAGGTGCTTATGTAAAAGCCTTTCACCAAGGCTGGTAGGGCCAGAGGTGGCTTGGAAAGGGGATGGGAGGGTGGTCCTGCTCACCTTGAACTCCGATCTCTGCACCAGGAAGCAGAGCTCAAAGGCCTTCCCCTTCTGGAAAGGCATTTGTATCTTCCTCTCCTCTGGCCCCCAATTTCCTTTCTGCTTTGTATTGCAAACAACATACCCTCCCTCTTCAAACCGTGGGTTGAAGTGGAAGGCAATGTCATTGTCACTGAAGCCAGTCTGGAAGTTCACCGAGAACCTAGGCAGAGGGAAGTCAGACCGTCTTCTGTAGTGTGGATTATTGCCAATGACAGAACAGGAGGGCCTGGCATATTTGCTTTCCTTGAATATAACCTGCGTGGCAGCGGGGAGCTTGTTGCCATTCTGTCCATCTAACTTGGACCTAATGTGTCTTTGTACACTTAATACATTTTGCCCCTCCAGTGGGGATTTTCTTAAAAAATATGTAAAAAAAAAATAGGTAAGGAAAAGTGCTAGTCCTGGCAACAAGACGCACAGGACTTGGGAACTAATTACACATTGATATCAGAGATGGTTGTGAAGCCTGCCAATAAGGGAGAGAGCCTTCAGTGCCATGTGGGCACTCACTGGAAGCCAGCAAGGTTGCAGCCCACACCTGCTCAGCTGGGAAACTAAAGAACTAATTTAAAGATTGTGTGAATTGATGGGAATATACCTGCAAAGACAGTGCCTACAGGAGGAGGCAGAAATAAATATCAGCTTGCCAGGCAACTCTATGTCATAGTGTGTAAAGTTCAACCCTGTCAGCAGGGCTTCTGAGTCACCCGCTTTCCTCCTCAGACTGTGAGCATCCTGGGGTCAAGGGTCAGCTCTGCTCAGCGGTTACTAAGGGACAACTCTGAGGGGAAACAGCGGTGCCATCGTATACCTGTTTGAATCTTTTTTTTTTTTTTTGGTACCAGGGATCAAACTTGGGTCCTTGCACTTGCGAGGCAGGCAGCGGAACTACTGAGCTAAATCCCCAGCCCTTGTATACCTGTTTGTGTTGGAGTGAAGAATGGTTCCCTGGACAGTGATCTGAAGACCCTCCTGGAGACCTCCTTGGATCACCCCAGAAAAAGGAACAGCCTGCATGAAGAAGATGTGGGGACATCAATTGGTTGGCACTGGCCTAACCCTGCTCCTGTGCCCCAGTTCCAGTTCCTTCCCTCAGGGCCCCCACAGGCGAATCTCCCCCCCTCCTGGACCCCATCGGCAGTCCCTCTCTTGGGTCCCTTTCTGGGCCTCATTGAGGGAGCATCAGGTGGGTTACACTGGGTGCGCACTGTTTTAGAGTCAGGCCAACTAAGTTTGAATCCCATCTCTGTTGCTCATTACCCCAGTGACCTTGGGAAGCTTTCTTTGTCTTTCTTTGCTCGTTTCCTGGTCTCTAAAGTAGGGAAACCTCCTTGTTATATCAGCTTCTTTGATGACTGATAAAAGGTCTGTGGAAGAGACTGGCACATAATAGGTGCCTCTCTGCCACTCGCGTCCCCCCAGCCCCTCACCCCTGGCCTTGTTCTCTCTAAGCAAAATTCCCAAATTGGTCACTTCTGGAACTTCAAAGCTTACTTCTGGAATCCCTTTTACCCAGGGTACCTCTGCAACTAGCATTAAAGCACAATTCCATCTCCTTGCCAATTTTCACACTTTTCTTGGGGTTGTTAATGTCTTCTCTCACAACTCCTTTGGGCAGCTCCCTATGTAAATTAAATGCTGGGCTGGAGATGTAGCTCCATGCTAAAGCACTTATCTAGCATGTGTTCAATTCCCACTGCTACATGAAGAAATAATAAATGAATAAGTGACTATGGGAACTGGGCAGGTGACATGTATTAGGGAGATGGCCAGGTAAGACACACCAGGGAGCAGTGGGAAATCATGAAATTCTCCGCAGAACCTTTTGAAGTGTCACAAGAAGCCATGCTTCAAATGTGTACACTGCTGGGAAGCCTGGAAGCTTCACTGATGCATACACATATTGAGGCGTGAAGAATGGAAAGCAGGATGTGATGGCTGAGAGTCGTAAGTCCAGAGAAGGCATCACTGAAGAAATCCAGGAATGGAGGAAGGATGGATGAGCACAGATCAAAGGGGTAGGACAGTATGGGTTACTCTCTGATCAAAAAGAAAAGGCTAAAAGAAAAGGCCTAAAAGTCCACCAGTAGGAAAAAGGTGAAATAAATGATTCTACTTCCATATAATAGCTTCAATGTAGCCTTTAAAAGAATAGGAACTGGGCTGGAGTGTAGCTCAGTGGTAGAGCACTTGCCTAGCATGTATGAGATCTCGGATTCAATCCTCAGCACAGCAGAAAAGAAAAGGAGAAAAAAGGAACACTGAGTACTGATATGGCATGATGTCATCTGTATAAAAAATGGGTGGAGGAAGCTGTACATGCATTTGTGTATTTACAGATAAACTATCGTTGGAGGAATTATCCAGAAGCTGGTAATACCGGCTGACTGCAAGTACCAGGCTGGAGGCTGAATGACACCCCACCCCTGCCGGGAAATGTCCATTCTAATCCCTGAGACCTGAGCATATGCTAATTAAGTGGCCGAAAGGTCCTTGCAGATTAAGTTAAGGATCTGGAGCTGGTGAGATGGGCCCCAGGGCTCCACACTGAGGCCCAGGTGGATCCTATGTAAGAGGGAGGTAGGGAGGTCAGGGCCACAAGAAGGAGGTGTGAATGCAGAAGAAGCTGCTATTTTTAAATTTCTTTTCTTTTTTTTTTTTTTTTGGTACCGGGGATTGAACCTGGGTCCTTGTGCTTGCACACCAGGCGGCGAAAACACTGAGCTAAATCCCCGGCCCTAAATTTCTTATTGTTATTTTCTGTGGTGTTGAGGATTGAGTCCTGGGCCTGGAAGGCTCAGCAGGCATTCTACCATGAGCTACACCCCTAGCCCCAAGAGGCTGCTGGCTTTAGAGACAGAGGGAAGAAACCCAAGCCAAGGCATGCAGGAACCTCAAGAAGGTAGAAAGGCAAGGAAAGGGACCCTCCCCGAAGGCGCTGGATGGAAAGGGACTTTCTGACACCTTTTATTTTCCTTGTGGCGTGTGGGATCAAATCCAGGCATTTATAGGCACCTGCCTTACTAATGAATTATACTCCAGCCTTTGAACACTTGGATTTTAGACTTCTAACCTTCAGAACAATAAGAAAACCGAATTGCTGTTTTAAGCCTGGCTGAACAGGCTGCTGAGGAATTTGGATGTGTGAGGGCCAGTGAGGGGTCTCATCAGAAAACAATGGGACCTGCTTTGGCTTCCAGCACTCAAGACGATGGGGTTTTGTCCTGGATTTATGGTCCCACAGGAACTGGCTCCTGTGACAGCTCCCTGTGCTAGCAGTTCTGATGTTGGACAAGTCACTTGACCTACCTGGCTCCCGGAGTCTCCTCTGGTCAGCTGACAATAATGTCACCTGGCTATATTTGTGGAAAGCCCTGGCTGGAGCTCAGCCTTGATACTGCAGCTGTTTGCAACAGCACAAACCAATCCCCCGCTGGGTCAGAACTTGTTCCCTGCTCCTGGTCACACCTGAAGGCTGGGGCATTTTTCTCCTCTTCCTAGCTGAAGGTCCAGTAAGCAGAGCTGACCCTTACAGGCCAGAGTGCAGCAGCCTTCTGGTGGCCCAGTGTCACCAGAGGACACTTTGTCCAGGCACTGGCAGTGGGGCCCTCAGCCTAGCTGGCCAAGGCTGCCCACAGTGCACGGCTTTTAGCCAAAGGGCCCTGTAGCCCCGAAGGTTCTAAGGCCCTGCTTGTAGTGAACCTTTCATTTCTGTGTTATCTCCTTCATCCTCATAACAACCTTTGCCACTGTCACTGCCACTTTTACAGATGAGGAAACTAGAGCACAGAAAGGCTCATAACTCACCCAAAGCCACACGGCTGCTCAGTGACAGAGGTGGGACTTGAACCCCAGAACTCATGCTTCCAAACCCACAAGGGCTGCCTCATGATAAAACACAGAACATCTTTATTCCTGGCCCACCAACCCGTGACCCCAGCTCCCATCCTGCCCCCTAGATGAGGCCAGCTAGAACAGGGAGCCGGGTGCCTAGGTCAGGCCCTCACTGCAGGTGCAATTCCTCAGCACTGCTGTGGTCGAGTGGCCTCCCGCACAGTTGACATTTGGGAGAAAGTGTGGTTCTGGCTGCCAGGGGTCAGCGGGTCACTGAGAGAGGCCATTGTGCCTCCCCCTGCGGGGACAGCCCCACTCCCAGCCCCATTTTGGAGACAGCCCCTCTGCAGACAGCCAGGGTGCACCCTTGGCTTATGAATCCCAACTCACCCTTCGGGACACAGACACCTCTCAGAGGCCTCCCTTGCTGCCCCCCAATTCCTGATAATGCCCAACACTCCCAGAGCACTTGCAGCATGCCAGATACCGTTCAAACATGCGAGATATGCTGCCTCACATGATCGCTACCCTGGCCTCAGGGGTAGCTTCGAATATTATGCCCATCTTATAGATGTGGAAACTGAGGCCCAGAGAGGTGAAAGTACCTTGCCTGCAGTCACTCAGCTAGCGAATGGCTGAATCCTGGAGGCGATTTCCAGAGAAGAGGCCATAAGTGCTATGTATGCAGGTTGTTTCCTTCCCAAAAGATAGCTCATGTCCCCTTCATACAAACTGTCACCCTTCTAGATGGTACTAGGCCTGTCTTCCACATGCACTGAGGATGGAGCAGGCACCCAGAGCCAGCTCAGTAAGCAAGTGTCAAACATGGGAATCGCAGTGATTAACATCGCTCTGTCCAGGAAGTTTCCATAGATGAGACACCATGGAACAGAAGCTATGTCCAGACGACCTCCTCTGCATTCTCGCCCTCCTTGGGGCCTCTTTGGGCTGCCCCCTTACCCCAGCTCCAGCCACCCAGTCCTTTCCTCAGAGATCCACAGCTGCTTCCTCCTGGCTGTGCAGCCAGCTAAGGTCAGGCCAGCTCTGAACTCACCGGGCTCACGTAGGGTGGTTGGGGGCTAGAAAAAGCCATCTGTCCACAGCCTCTGGCCACCGCTTCCTTTCACTCAACTGAGCTGTCTCTACCCAGAGCTGGACTTTTTCAGAAAACCGAAACCAAAGCCGTTTGGCAGCTATTCAACAAGGAGGAGCCAGGGCAAAGGAAGTGGGTCTGGAGAGAGAGAAAGGTAGGTAGGTATTGGGGCTGGGGTGAGGGTGGAGCTCAGGGAGAGGGAAGTGGGCACTCCCAGTTCTGTGATCTGTCTCTCCTTTGGCCTCCTGTGCACCACCTAGAGACCAAATCCCACTGCATTCACAAAGATAAAAAAGTGACGTAGCACTGAGTGCGTCAACAGCACCGCCGGGAAGTGCATGCTGAGCTTCCTGAGCATGCTCCGTTACTGTGCAGGAGACCAGCCCCTGGGCAGGGGGCCTGGCTGGTTGAGAAATGAGGCCCAGAGAGCACAGGGGACAGGACCAAGGTCACGTGGCTCATGTATGGTGTCCTGAACTACTTGAGAATACTTTGGCTCTGCAAAAAGTATTTCTCCCTTTTAAATTTGTATTCCTTTCCTCATTCAAAACCATGATTACATAGGAAGAACTTTGCAAGAAAAACCCTAAACGGGAGATTTTTATTCTAGAGTAAAGGGTGCTTCAGGAGCTTCCAATCCTCCTTTGGTGAGTGTATCTTTTTCTTCCTTTTTCCCTGGGCTTCAGGGTGGGGAGAGAAGTTGTGGGCAGAACAATCTAGTGACAGGGAAGGAGACAAGAAGGAACATCAGAAGTAAACTGCCTTTAATTGGCTTTGGCACAAAGGTAGGGGAAATCATTGGCTTTCACACAAAGAGCAGGATAGGCTGGTGGTGTTGTGTGACTGTAAGGTGACCTAAGGTCAGTCAGGTCCCTGCCTCAGGTGAGGGGAGGCTGGGTCAGCAAGCTGGTGGGGAGCTGTTAAGTGTTGTTGTTGCTTCGAAGATCAGATAGATGTTGCACCTAGTCACCAGTCCAGAGAAGTGTGGCTGAACTGGAGGTGTGGAGGTCACAAAGCCTCCTGTTTCATGAGCAGATTAGTACAGATAACAATAGGGCACCAGGCCTCAAGGTGGACCCATGCTGCCTCTTGTGTCCTTCCCCGCCCTTCCACCATGCACCTTCCTCGTGGCTGCTGCAGCAGGGAGGCCCTGGCCAGATGCTGGTGCCTGGGTGTTGGACTTCCCAGCCTCCGAACAGTGAGAAATCAACTTCTGTTGTTTATGAATTACCAAGCCTGTGGGATTCTGTGGTATCACTGCAAAATGGACTAAGACAAGAGTCCTCCAGGCACAGAGTGGGAACAAGGTGCCCCAGGCCATACATAGGTCTGTATCTTTCTTCCATCCTGTGATCTACGTAAATGCACTAGTATTGGCAAAGACCAACTTCCTGTAGATGTTCCCATAGACAGAGGCCATGTGTCCCCTCTGCCCTCCATGCCCGTTATGTACCTGGATTAATCAGAATTGGGCTGGATTTAAGAATCAGAGAGCCCACTTGTAAACAGGAAGGAAGGAAAGCAAGCAAAATTCCTTACAATCCTCTCTAACACTGTGGACACCTGGGACAATTTTGTGGGGGTACCTCATTTGAAAGCAATTGCCAATCAGTTGGAATTTGGAACAAATGGAACACTCATCGATTGAAGGTGGAGTGTAAAATAATACAGTTTAGAACCAGGCGTCTCGGTGAATGCCTGTGGTTCTAGAAGTTGTGGCAGGAGAATTGCTTGAGACCAACCTGAGCAACATAGTGAGGCCCTGTTTCTTAAAAATGAGTAAACAAAGAAATGTAAAGTTAAGAAAAAAAAGTTAAAAATATAGATTAGAAGTTTTCGGACTGTACAGTGAAATATCCACTTCTCTGTCCGGCTGTTTTACTCTGTACTGCTAACCCCAGATATAGGAAACCACACACAACTGTTTACAACAGCTTTATCATCACAGCCCCAACCTGGAAACTACCCACGTGTTCACCAGCAGGAGAGAGGAAATGGAAACTAGCATCCACACAACTGAGTGGCCCTCAGCTAGGAAAGGAACTGGGGTTGGGGAAGAACACGGATGAGAGTCACACCCCGGGAGAAGCCAGCCACAGCGAGCATGCGCAGTGACAACTCCCTCTCCACCTAGGCCAAGTACAGGGCTGATTTCCCGTTGCCCCTAGGCCACTGCCTTCGAGGGACATAGAGGAGTCTTGTGTAGGCTGTAAAAACTGTGCTCCTGGTGGGAATGGTTCCCCTCCGTCTCCTACACAGGTAAAACTCACACCCAAGCCAAGACCTGTGCCTTTTTCTCTGGGTAAACAATATCTCGATAAAATGCTGTTAGAGGAATAAATCTCCCAGATCCCAAGGAGTCCCGGCCCAGCTGAGTTCCAGAAAACCAGCAGCTCAGTGTGGCCCTGAACCTTGGTGGGCGTCACAGTGAGGGATCTCACTGGCGAGTGCAGCCCCAGGGAGGACCCGGGGCTTCTGCTCCACACCCCACAGGGGCTCCACTGGCAAACCAGGAAGCCAGGGTGTTTAGACTCCTCAAGGCGGTGGGAGGGTCTTGGAGGGTCTTGGAGGCTCAGTGCCAGGCGGCAAAGAATTTCAATCTGGGCAGTGTGGTGATGGCCACTGAGTCACAGTGCGTCACAGTCCACTCCCGGGGACAACTCTATGCTCAGTCCAGGCCCTAGGAAAGCTCCTGTTCAGAGCTGTTATGAATATCCAGACACTTGCCTGCTGCTGTCTTTTGCAGTGTAGTCTGGGGGTCTTTTAAAAATATGGGCCAGTCGCCTCACACCTACTAGGATGGCTACTAATGAACGGGGAGTGTTTCTCTGCAGTTAAAGCCAAACTTACTGGTGGAAAAGTTTTCCCCCATTCCCTCAACGTGTCCGGGCTTCTGGACACTTCCTCCTAAGCATCTCAGGCATATTCTTTGTTCTCAGTTTTATTACTTGTATCTCCTCGCCGAACGTAAATGAGATGTGGCTCGGTGCACTGAGCTTGCTGTCTGTAATATCTGATAACTGGTGAATTTGCTGGGCTGATGACTTGTGCTCTGTGTAACCAATGCAAAGTGTTTAACTCCTGCCAGCCCGCCCCCTCCCGAGAGTATAACCTGCCCTGCTCCACCCCAAAGGGGGGTCAGTCTCTTTGTGGAGAAGTCCCAGACAGACCCGCTGGCGTTAAAAATAAAACAGTACACTTTGCCTCCAAAATTTCTGGGTGCGTCTTCCATTCTCCTGGACTTCCTGTCTGTACGTTCTGGCTGGCACTCTGCTGATAAACTATAAAAACATACACTCTGGACCAGTTCCACACACTGTGATTCCAGCTACTTGGGAGACAGACAGGAGGATCCCAGGCTAGAGGCCTATCTAGGCAACTTAGATCCCATCTTAAAAAACAAAATTAAAAAACATTTAAAAAATAAAGCGCTGGGGATGTAGCTCGGTTATAAAATGTTCCTGGGTCAGATCTCCAGTACAAAAAAACAAAGTATACTAGCTAGTAACAAAACTTCCCCATAGTTCAAGTGGAGTGGAGGTTCTAGATACTGACATTACAGAAAATAAACCATGAAATCGCCAAAAGAAAGCATGTTATTTCTAAAAATATAATCTTGAAAAATGCAAGTCATTTCTAAGGAGGGAATACAACAAAAAAGATATAATGAAAACCTACTCAATTTATAATATTTTTAAAAACTGCATTCTAGATAGTGAGAAACACTATATATAATACATATGTATATATGTATATAATGTGTATATATCATGCACACATGTAACATAGAAAATGACTACTAGAAAAATCACAACATTTATTGTAAAAGACCAATTATGTGCATTTACAAGGAGCTCTTCCAAATGAACAGAAATCAACAACCAAAAATGATGCAAATACAATGAAAGGCAGTTTCTAGCAAAATAAACATAATGAACCAGTGAACAGAAAAAAAATGTAATCAGACTCATTCAAGATTAAAGTAATGCAGATTTAAGTAGACATAAAATTACCTTGTGATCTCTTGTATTTCAAATGGTTTCAAAGTTCAGCTATTCTTACTGATTGAGTGGATGTGCTCCTGTGAAACATCTTCCAGAAAGCACTTCAATTATTGTTATCCAAGTTAAAAATAAACCTACATTTGATACAGAAATTCCAACTCAAAAAATGTTTTCCACAGGCAAGATTGCAAAGGTATATTTAGGTACAGGAATGTTAATTAAAGCAATATGCATGGCACTCTTTGCTACTTCAACATCCTTTTTCCATTAAAAATTATGTAAGCAATTGAGGAAACAATTATGTATCTGTATGTAGTGAAATACTCTATTGTTGTTAAAAACATTGAGATGAAATATGCTGACATGTGGTAATATATTTAAGATATTGTTTATTGAAAAAATATATTACATAGCATTAGGCATATTTTACTATTATAAAAGAAATATACACTGGTTGAACTGCCCTCAAGGATGACATACTCATTAAAAGGACATGTGAGATAATTTGTATTTACAGAATAGTTACATGTGGATGTATTTGTCATTTTTATTTGGCTCATTGTGAGAAGCAACAAATATTTATTAGGTGCTTTTGTTTTAACCAACAGTACCTTCATTTAATACTCAGAATTGGAAAAATGATAGTTTTGGTGCCAGCTTCTATGGTGGCTTGTATTTTAGACCATCCTTTGTATCCTGAGTTGAACCACTGTGAAGACTTGCTAGTGAGGATTATTCCTTTGCTCTGTCTTCCAGAGTAGAAACCATACATTAAAAAAAAGGTCACATCAGGGATTTAACTCAGTGGTTCCACTGCCTGCCTCACAACCAAAAGGTCCTGAGTTCGATCCCCAGTACCAAAAAAATACATAAAAATAAATAAATAAGAAATATACACATATGCTCATGTAAATATGGCATGTTTCAGAGGAAAAATACTCGAATGGTTATATAAAGAGGATAGGATTTGGAGATACAGGGATTTTTACATTATTATTGTATGGTTTATATCTGAATGTTCCCCTAAAGCCTCATGCGCTCACAAGTGGTGCTTTGGGGAGGTGACTAGATCATGGGGTGTAATCCTCATCGGTGGATTAGTCCACTGAGGAGCTTATAGTTAAATGTGATGTTGGGAAGCAAAGCAG